CTCGGGCGTCATGGACCTCCATTATTTGAATGTCAGCAGACAGCAAGAAGCCTCCCAGATCTCCAGATGCCTTTGAGATATCAAAAAAGTACTCCAGAGTGTTGTTCAGCATGGGGGTGAGTAGAAAATGAAGGCTAATCATGTTTTGGGTGTACTATTCCTTTAAAACTAAAGTCAATAGAAGAAATCTATGAAATAAAAATAAAAGTAAACAGTATTTTTGACTAGTGAGATGTGTCTAGTTTTTTTGGGCATGTGACAAAAGCAGGAGAGAGCAAGAGTTTTGGCAGATAACAGGAAGGATGAACACAGTACAACTGAGAAGTAGACCTGGGCAATATATCAAGATTTTGGAAATATCAATAAATCAAAATATAAATATCAAAATATTTTTTCAAAAGAGATAGGAAATGAGTCTATAACGTTTATATCGAGATGGTCTTTATTTCCATATAATTATATGTTAATTTTATGAATGCCACTATGTTATTTTTAAGCCAATTCAGACATAATTTCATGATTCTACAGCTTTTTCTTAGTAAAAATGTGTTTTTTTGAAATTTGAGACAACATTGTAATTCAGAGGTTTCTTTTTTATAAGCATTGTTATTGTATATCACAGGACTAAGCGCTGAAAAACAGGCCCAACTCTATCATTTATTGAAGTTGTCAATCGCAACAGCCCAGCTGATGTCTTTCTGCAGGAGGGTGTAACAGCTAAACAGAACCAGACCAGAAGAGGCCATTATGATGAAAGAACATAAAGTCAGGGGTTGGGCTTACAAATGAAGTAGAATATAAAAGAAAGAAATGGAATGATTCAAAGCGATGAAAAGTGGACCCCATGTTCTCCAGCAGTCTAAGCCTATAGCAGCATAACTACAGAGCTCATAAGCAGAGCAACTCTATCTATAAGCTTTATAAAAAGGAAAAAAAGGAGGGAAGAATTGGATGTAGACAACTGTTTGTTTATTTGTTTTGTCCCAGATGATGCCACATTTGTATAGGTAAATACTTAATTTTAGAAGTTTATTACATCCAACACAACATGCAACATACACAAAAAAACTCATGTTTATTTACTGCTGTTTGTTAAAACAAATGTGACATTTGGGACTAAGCCTGGATTTGGAAACGCCCCTCTGTACTTACTGATAAATGAGAGCACGCTGCCTCTGCAGGGTGGAAGGAATGGGTCACAGCACCTTGACAGCTCTTCACCTGTCTTCTATGGAACAAGACAGCTATTAAGTTTAATATCTCAAGACTGTTCCCAGCTTTACCTGAAATAAATGTTGACCCCCTCTTTTTTTTTTTTTTCAAAGGGTCACCCATGCCCACCGTGTCCCTCAGGACTTTCATGCCCGTTTTAAAGCCCGTTCTCGGACCTATGTTTACCGGATAGCTCTGGGCGTCTCCCACCACACTCTGCTTCCCCTCACAGACTGGAATCTGTGCTGGAGCCTCCGCAACACGTGAGTGATCCCATCCCCTATTTGCGCTATTGTCATGTGCAGCATCATGAGAAATAAAACTTAGCCTATGGTTTTATTCACAAAAGCTGAGAGCTCAGAGAAAACAACTGGATGTTAATTTGCATTAATAATCCACATTAGGAATGGTGGAGCTGGAAATTAAGGACTTTATGGGAGCTTGTGTGCCAACAGCAAACAAAAGGGATGGCATGTATATATAGAGAAAATGTTTAGGGCTTTGAAGATTTGAAAATGTTCTTTTGGCTGTGATTGTAAGGAGGGGGCATGAAGAAATCCCATTTGAAGGAGTGTATCTTCGAACATTTCTCCGCTGTTCTCACTTGACTTTTTTATTTTTTACTTAAAGAAAAGTAGGGCAAGAAAAGCTGCGGGCTTATACACTAGCTGAAAAAACACCCATGCATTTTATCTAGGTTTCTTTTTCTTCCCACTCTCACTTTTTCACTTCTCCAGCTCTCATTTGTTACCTAGCTTCTTCTTGCTCTCCCTTTTCCCTCATTTCTCTCTCTTCATCGTCTGCTTCTTCATCCCTCTCTCATGCCCAGACTTCATCTCATCTTTCTGCCCCAGAGCATCTCTGCCTCAGCAGCGTCTCCTCGTTTTATCTTTGATCTGCCGCTCTCCTCCCTCGTCATCACACCCGCTTTCCACTGCAAGAAATATCAGATGGATGGCTTTAGTTTTTCTTCTCTAAAACTGGTTTTCTATTAAAAATAATGCATTTTTTTTTTTTTTAGTGGAAGAGCTTGCATATTAGGTTCAGTTAATTGCCTTTGAAAAAGTTTACAAAACCTCTGCCATTGTCAAATGGATTTCGGTGGGAACATTAATGGAAGCAATCAAAGCGTCTTTATTCTTCTGAATCAAACTCTACCCTGTAATGGGTTAATCCCTAAGATTTTTTCATCTTTTGCTTAAATGAGGGCATTAAGAGTTTTAATTGGGCAGTCACTCAGCACAGACCCTCTTCTCATTTTCTTGCTGGATTTCTCCCTACCTTCCCGGTCTT